TCCCTACACAGTTTGGATCTAAATCTATCATCTCAATCTGAAATAATAGACTTTGGGACTCCATGCAGTTGTACAATTTTATCAATAAAAATTCTAGCCAACTTGTTTGTAGCATCTATCAGTCTAATAAGCAAGAAATGTGTTGAGTTGGTCCGACGATCAATAATCACACATACAAAATCTCGACTTTGCTTTGATCTCGGTTGTCTCGTCACAATGTCCACGGCAATGTCCTCCCATTTCCAATCTGATATAGACAACGGTTGTAATAGCCCATTAGGCTTTTGATGCTCAGCTTTAACCCTCTTGTAAATAGGACACTTTGCTACAAATTCTGCTATGCTGCACTTCAATCTTGGCCACCAGAGTGACCTTTTAAGCTCTTGATTCATCTTGTTGCTTCTTGGATGTATCGTATATCCTGAATAATGTGTTTTATGTAGGATTTCTTTACACAAATAAGGTGTACAAATTCTTTTCTTGCACCTCAATAGCTTTTCTTCCTCGATCCCTTACTTCTCTAATAGATTTGCGTTCACTTGGTATAATATTTCTAAAACTCTGCATCATGTAGTGATGCATATCATATTCTGTCCTTCGAAGTTGGCTGAATTAACATCTGATTCAACAGTGCAAAACTTTTATCAATTGGTGTCACTACTAATAACTGTAATCGCTCCATATCTTTAATAAGTTCTTCTTACTGTGTAATTACCTAGTTATCATTGTGACTTGCCTTTTTGCTTAGCGCGTCTGCCGCAACACTAACTTTCTCCGGGTGATATTGGATATTCTTATTATAATACCTAAATAACTCAAGCCATCTCCTTTGCCTCAAATTCTACTCCTTATGAGGGAAAGTATGCTTTAATTTTTTGTGATCAGTGATTTCTTCACACTCGAGATGATAAAAATAATGCCGTCATATTTTCAAAACAAATACAACAGCTGTTAGTTCTAGATCGTGTGTCGGATAATTTTTCTCAGGATTCTTTAATTGTCTAGAGGCATAAGCATTTACCTTCCCGTGTTGCATAAGCACACACCCATCCCCTTAAAGATACTTCATTATAAATCTGAAAGCCTTCTTTTCTTGAGGGAATAGGCAATATTAGAGTTGTCATCAAGGGCATCTTCAACTTTTGAAACGCTTCCTCACAACAGTCTGTCCACTCATATTTCACCATCTTTTAAATCAATCTGGATAATGTCATCACGTTCTGTGAGAACCCCTCAATCAATCTCTTGTAATAACCTGCCAAAAAAAAGAACTCTGAACTACTGTAATAGTATTTGTTTGGGCCAATTAACTATCGCTTTAACCTTATTTTGGTCGAGTGTAATGCTTTCACTTCTAATGATATACCCCAAAAAATGTTATGCTCTTCAACCAGAATTCACACTTTGACAACTTGGCATATAACTCATTCTCCTTCAATATCTGCGAAACGGTATGAAGATGATTTGTGTAGTGGGACTAATCAATGGAATATATTAAAATGTTGCTGATGAATATTATCACAAATCTCTCCAGAAATGGTTTAGCTTTTGTTCATCGAGTCCATAAAAACTACAGGTGCATTTATCAACCCAAAAGGCATAACCACAAACTCATAATGCTCATATTTGGTGCTGAAAGATGTCTTTGCTATATCATCTTCTTTAATTCTCAATAGGTGATATCCCGAGTGTATATCAATTTTAGAAAACACCGTTTGCCCCTTCTAACTGATCAAAAAGCTCATTAATTCTTGGCGGAGGATATTTGTTGTTGATTGTGAGCTTATTTAATTCTCAATAATCAAGGAATATCCTTAAGCTCCCATCTCTCTTCTTAAAAAAAAACATTGGGGCTCTTCAAGAGAGTGTTTGGCCAGATAAATTCCTTCTCCAATAAGTATTGCAATAAAATTTTTAATTTTTGTAATTCTTTGATTGCCATCCTATAAGGTGCTTTCGCCACTATTTTGCATCTGGTATTAAATTGATAAGGAAATATCTATCTTCATGGAGGCAAACCCGACAAATCATTTAAGAATACCTTTGGGTACTCCTTTAGTATCAGTATAGCTTCCAACTTCTTGGGTTCCTTCACTATTTTAATAACTTGTGCTACGAAGCCTTGATACCATTTTGCTAACAATTTACATGCCTTCAAATTGGATATCATCATTGATAAAACTTTTATCTTCGATAAAATTTAATCCTTCTTTTCCATGGATATTGAATTTGATTATCTTTTTAGAAAAATCAATAGTTTTGAAAGAAATGGATAACCAATCCATCCCTAGGATCACTTCGAATTCAGTTAGTGGCAACCTCAACAAAATCGTCTTGAAGCTTCTATCACTGATAGTCAGATTCACATAACATCTTCTATCAGCCATTATATGAGACCCATTACATAGAAGAACTGAAGAAATAAGCCATCAGACATTTTGAATGATTCCAATCCTTTGGATTTCACACTCTTCAGAGAGAAACAAATGTGATATCCCGATATCAGATAAAGTTTCGACTGATTTGCTTTGAATAGATTCAAAACATATAATAAGGAGAATGTAAAATTCTCCAAATATAAATAAAGATTTGGCGGATTTGTTGAAATAAATAAATAACTATAAAGACGTTAGGTGAATTATTTACTTTTTGCTGAGTCAGTGCATATACTCTAGGTTGTACACCTTGGTGGGTCTGACCTAGAGCTTGAGCTGATCCTGGCGACTCAGTTGACCTTTGTCTGCCAAAGGTCCTCTGAGTAAGGGGGGCACTAACTCAGGCATCAACCTGAGGTCTCTGGCCTAAGGTAGGGCATGACCTCTCCATGTGTTCGGAGTGATGGCACTAAAAATAGGTGTTGGTGTTTGACGAGCACCCTCTTCTATGCGCCCTTCCATACTTGACACAGGTGGTTCAATTGTTGCTGCTGCAAGTGCCGCTATCAGTACCATAGCTGTTGGGTCGAGACTTCTTCATGATAGTCTGCCTAGACTGGACAAACTAAGTGGCTTTTCCCGATTTTGATTTATCATCTCTTCTCTTCTAAAAATCTATGTCTTTCTATAGTCAGTAATTCAATCTCTATTTTCTTGGTCCTCTCCACAAATATAGAGTAGGGATTAAATGCTGACGAATGACATCCTTCAATCTTGATAGAAAATGATGATACATTTCCTCAGCATTGGGGATTATTGAGGTGTATACCTGGACAATGTCATGAACTCAGCCTCATACTGCATAATGGAACAATCGTCTTGTTCGAGCTTGACAAACTAATCCTGCATCTGCCTTCTGCAGCTTTCTGTGCCACCATCTCTATATTTCCCCTCAAAAGCAAAAGTGGCTAATGTGATCCTCATCTCATAAGAACAAGACAAAACATCAATGATTTTCTTCACTCGCATAATCTAATTTTCTGCCTCAACTGGTCCTCTTGGTCCTGAAATAGTGGTGGCTGCATGTTCTAGAACAACTTTAGGTATTTATCCATCTGCGTTGTTCCCCTACCACTCGTTCGGGCCTGAGAATCCTAATAAGTCGTGTAACTGCGACCATCATTTGAGTAAAAGCCTCCATAAGGACGCTATCACCTCTGGATGGAGGATTAATACCTTTTACCTCTATTATTTCCATCAGTGTCCAACGGATCAATATCAATTCCCATGAAATACCAAAATTTTAACATTATGAACATAGACATTATAATTACTACTTAATTATCTTAATAATTATTAATGATTTTCCTAATGTCTCTTTTCTATATGCCGTCTTATTGCCCTAAACTGTGCTCTGATACCACTCTTGGCAGGACCCGACTCGACAGCTTGGAGCTACCGAGGCGGGGACTCTTGGTCAGACTAAGGAAAACTGTATAGCAGTTTCATTTTACAATAATATCCGAAGCACAAGAATGTTATTCTATTTCATAAAACTTATAATTACAACAGTTTATTCATATTTAAACATTTACATCTAACATAACATAAAACTAAACTAAAATACCTATAAACTTGCGCTCTACAATGTATGTACACATACTTCTTTAGGTCCATCTAGTCTACAACCGGTTTTCCTATAAAATTTTAGTAACTGAAGGTTTAAGTTAAAAATACTGAGTGGGAAAATGTTTTTAAATTACAATAATTGTTATTTTAAAATATTTTAAAAAGATGTAATAAAAAGTAAAAGACTGTGCGGTAAAAGGGAAAAGTAAAGAAACATGTTTCATTTACTTTCATTTATTTTTGTTACACTTTTCATTATTGAGAGTCACTATCTAAACGTAAATTTTCTAAAATATATGTTTAACCTTTTTAAACCCATTATAAACGTAGACGACCATTTTCATTTTTATTTTTATTTTTATTTTTATTTTCATGCACAAATTTTCATTCTCATGCCAATACTATCTATGAGTGACTCCCATATGCGCGTGTTTGTTATATTTTATTCATTTTCTTTCATTTAACATTTAAAAGAAAACATTGATTTTCACATTTTAAAAGAAACTTTGGAAAACAATAAAAATTCGTGTAAATAGCATAACTATTATAAAATAAAATATTTACCCTCCTCTACAATGCAATCAAATTGTCCTTTTCGTCAATTCAAATCTAATCTTTTGGCTTACTCAACTATAAGAACAATTTAATTTCTATTAGTTTTATATTAATATTTTATTTTAATTCTAACTTTACTATTGTTATTAAATATATTCATTTCAAATTTCAGCCTACTTGAAAGTTTCATAGAAATAATCAAATTACATTTATTCCTGTGAAATTTTCAATTTATTGATTATTAGAACATTTCATTAATATTAATACATATAATGACAATAATTAAATCAATTTTATGTTATAGTTTCTAAATTTTCATTTGGGCAGACTTAAATTTAATAGTAATTTAATTCTAAATAAAATTTAAATTTAGGCTTCTTTATTTCATTTTAATATTTATTACTTAGGAGAATAACAATTAATTTAAAAAAAAATAAACTTTATACTTGGAACTCCTCCCCTTCTTCCTCTACCTTAGCTTCCATGTAAAAAATTCCTAAAGTTTTAAGAATCAAACATTAGAATGTTTGGAAAATTAATTGAATTAATTAGGATTTACATTTCATAATTTAATTTAAATCAATTACTATTAAGGACTTAAATAAAATAATAGTTTACCTTATAATCCTCTTCCTTGCCCTAAAATGTTTGAAACAAGCCAAGCTCGATGGAGTTCTCCCACACTCTGAAGGATCCCGCGAGCCATTCTTTCTCCTTAAGCACTCGGGTCGATCCTACAAGCTACATGAGAGGTAGGAAACGGCTCACACTTCTCATTCTTCTTCGTCGAAGAACTATGGCACAAATGCTTCTCCCTCCTCGGTTTGCTCAATCGAGGGCGTAGGAAGTTGCGTCGAGTGCCTCACGCTTCTCTTCTACGCTCGCACAAACACTGGGTTGTCGATGACGCAAGAGACTAGAATCCACTCCCGCCGACATCAGAGATTAGTGAGTATGCAGAGGAACGAGTGCACAAGATTCAGAAATTCCACGAAGAAGTCAGAAAAGAGATCACTAAGCAGAGTCACATTTAACAGGCACAAAAGAACAAGACAGGAAAAAAGGTCACATTTAATGAAGGAGACTTAGTGTGGATTCGACCGAAGAAAGAAAGATTCTTAGTACGAGTATTTGGAAAACTCATGCCCATAGTAGACGAATCTTTTAGAATACTCCAAAAGTTAAATGATAATGCTTACAAGATCGACTTGCCAGGGGACTATAATTTTTCAGCCACGTTCAATGTTGCATACCTGACATCGTATTATGATGATATGGAAGCTTTGACAGATGAAGTTGAAGCTCTCCCAAACCTGAGAGACTGACGCGAGAGCTTGCTGGGTTTAATCAACCAATTGTTCAAGTCTAGCAAAGTATTAGTCTAGCAGGAGGCTGGACCGGCTCCTTTTTTTGGGCGATACTTACCGCCCAAGTTTTCCCCCTCTTCTTTTCGTTTTCCAACCTATCTATCCTCGATTAATATGCATATTTCTTGAGTCTAGGGAGAGGTTATGTTTTGTTTTCCGTTTGCTGTCTATAGGATTCTCTTCCTTTGCTAGGGTTGTATCCGAGGACATGTGGTGCTCTAGCTATTTCCTGCATTAGGGTGGTGACGATTCCCCTTGATTTCAGTGCTTCCCCTACCGGCCTACAGCTGTCGACCATTAATTGCCCAACCATCTGTCTGGTATCCCCTTCCAACACCTTCCACCGGCTGCTATACCTTCCCCCCTTTTCTCCCTTCCAGCAACCAGCCATCTACCCTCTCCCCTCCTCCTTTCCCTTGCTCCTAGCTGCCAACCCTACCTCCTCCTTCCCCCACATCTCCTATTCCGGGCCACCCTGCAACCTCTTCTTCCCCATGCCTCCTCACAACCATCCGAGAATCCCCTCCCTTTCCCCTTTCTGATTCAGACCGCTAGCCTATCTTCTCCTGCTCCCCCTAACCACCTCCACCTTTAGCGCTATCCATCACCTACCATCTAGTCTTCACAGCTTCCCATGAATACCCTTCCCCGGCCCTAGCCAGATATTGTTGTTTATTGTGCTTTTTTTTTCTTTTTCAGTTCTTTTTGAAGTCTTGATTGTAACCCTAATTATTTGCTTAATAATCTCTGCTTCCATTATTGCAGGTTGGTTAATTCTGGTATCACATATCATTAGTCATACCTAATCGTTGTCTTTTGGTTTGAAAATCATGATATAATGTCCCATTGAACACCTATGGGGGAGTTGCATTTTGTTTGGTTGCACAAGTTTTTTGTTGCATGTATGTGCAGCTGACCACCTTCTATTTCGTCTGTTTTTTAGTACTTAGAAGTTAGAACAATATCAAGAGTAACTTGGAACAGTGAATGCCATACTAATGCCATACTTTCGTAGATGAACCAGTCTTTTTCATTGTGGTTGACATATTTATGTTTGCAACATATACTTTCGTGGCTTCTCGCATCTAATGGAAGAGAACATTAATTGTCCAAATGCTGATTTGTTTTTTCATAAATTATTTGTGGTATCTATCTATAAAAGTTGCTTGCGTGGTCTTAGTGATCAATTCAGATTGCTCTCCGGTAATTTCCCCGCAGCAAATTTTCTGTCTGTCACCAATTTCTGCGAACCCAAAGTTCATTTTGTTGCAATTTATACTTTAGGTTCCATGCTTAGGCTGTATCTGTTTAATTACTCTTTTATGTCTTTGCTGTTCCGTCTTATAAATTGGTGTTTTACAAAACAATCTAGCATTATTTACAATCTATAAGGGAAACTGAGTACACATTGATTGGTTCTCTGATTATTTTATGGTTTTTTGTGGTGTTTTTTGCCAGATATCTCTCTTGAACTTTATGAAAAAATTTATCTTAAAATTTTCCAAGTATACTTTATCAACCACATGTGACTAATCAAATTATTGTGTTCTTGCATATTTCCTCACTTGAAAACTTATTAGAACTTTCTTGATTTAATTTTTTTTTTCAAGTATGTATGCACTTGCCAATCTAATTGCTTGCGATCTTATTTTAAGCGTAATGAGCCTACTTCTTTGTGTACTATGCATTGCCTGCTGTCTATTGAACTATTTAATTCAGCTGATTCAATAAATCTACAATATTCAAGTTTCAAATAATTTTGGCTTAGGGGCTTGCTTTGTTTCATATTGGTGAGAATTGTCAAGCTGAAGTGGCGCTTCTCAAATCAATAAAACTTGATAAAAGTTATATAGAGGCATGGACCCATCTCGCTCAGGTAGTTTATTTGCGTCTACCTTTTTCCTAATGTCTAAACGTGCTCTAGTTCCATTTTCTTGCACTGTTGGGGAATAGATACAATTACCTCTATAACTTCTTGTTTAAAAATGTAGCTTTTTTTTAATTAGAAATGTAATTGATATTGAGGTTAACCCAAACCACAATAGGAAAAACAAATATTATTACTCGGAACAAATAAGTGGTTAAAAGTCGAAGTGAAAAGGAAATACGGCAACAAACACACAACATAGACACCAAACTATGGCTGGATTCAAAGGTGTTGGAAGGCTGCAATAAGAGAGGTGGGTGGGGGGCTGTGGTTGTGGCAAATGAAGCTTTTTGGCGACAAAGGGCAGCAGGTAGAGGGGCAGCTGGTGGCAATGAAATAACAGGTAGGAGGGATTGGTGGCAAAGGACCGCAGGTATGGAGGGCTGGCGGCAAAGGGATTAGCAGGTTGGAAGGCTTGTGGCAAGGAGATAACAAATGGGAGGGCTGGCGGCAGGGAGACAACAGGCGGGGAGGCTCGGATGAAGGCTGGAGATGCCGAGAATGGTGGATAAAAATCACCTCAGGACGAGTTACAGCCGAAGCATCTTCTTGCCTTTGGATACAACCCTAGAGGGGAAGTCCTAGATGCTGGGTGCTGTCTTGACAGAAGTTTGAAATAAAAACTGACTTAAACACAGGAGAACGACATATATACTACTAGGTTAGCTAAGGGTGGACCCTCTAAGTTAGGCAGCAAATCCCCCTCAAGAAAGGATTGTATGGCCTCTCTCCTTCCTTAGCATGAACCGGTTTGGCGGTTGTCGCTACAGTGTCCTACAACCTGCATGGGAGACACACCCGTATCAATAACTTCTAGTCTTAAGTATGTATCCTGATAGTTTTAAGTTTGATGTTTTATTCTTTTTATGTCTTCTTAAATATATGCTTTATTTTACACCACTCATAATTCTAATTTTTCATGCTTCCATTCCACAATACACATTAACTCTCTTGGAATTTTCTCTCTTTTATTTTTCTAAGATATAATATGTTCTTTTGAACTGGTTGAAGAAAGTGAATATTTTAGTTGAAGAAAATGAATCATTTAGTTGAATAAAATGAATTTTTTAAAGTCATACAAAGCATTTAATATGGAGATTCACCTTTTATGGAATAAATATCTTTTTTGGCCGTTGCTGTTCATTTTAATTTACCAGCAAATGCTTATCTTACTACGCAGTTTTATCAAGATCTGGCAAATCCAGAGAAAGCATTACAGTGCCTTGAGCAAGTATTACTTGTTGATGAAAGGTAATACTGGCAAATGTATATTTTATTTCTTTTTGAAGTGTTTTAGTTCCAAATTTTGATCAAATAATTACTATGCATGATTTTCTTATGTTTTCCTTTGCGTGTTGCATGAGCTATTTTATAGGTTTGCTAAAGCATATCACTTGCGTGGGCTACTCTATCAAATGATGGGGCAACATAGGTATTTTTTTTACCAGTTACTACAATTTGTTTTGATTTTTCCAATACATTTTTATTTAATATATGCATTACAATTTTGATCGTTCTCTATATTTTATTTCTTAGCAAGAAATTGTCAATATCTTGAGCATATAAAGTATCATCTTGATTTGACGTCTTATAAAATTTAGTGGGTGTAATAGCCTGAGCTTTCAAGTATCGAGATATTGTCTACTTTGGCTTAGTGGCATCAGTTTAGCCCCTGTGATGTAACTTCTCAAATACCCCATTCTAGAAGTGCTCCCATGTGAGCACACTTCTTTGAAATTTATGATGAAATTCTACTGTTATACCAAAATGATTTCTCGATTTTTAAGAGTTTGGCTTTATTTTATTTAAGGGGTTTCACAATCTCTCCCAACTAAGTAACCAAATACCCCCTTTAGTGCTCTAAGCCCATAATCATCAATCCGGCATATAGGATTCTAGAGGCGTCTCTACAGATTCAAGTGGTGGTTTCCGCCATGTGGTACTTTGTCTATTCTTGGGTTCAAGAGGGTGGCTATCACAACATAACACTTTGTTCTTTTGGAACTTAGTTCACATCTTCAGGCTGATGTAATACTCTGATACCATTATAATAGCTTGAACTCTCAAGCATCGAGACATTGTCTGCTTAGGCCTAGTGGCATCAGAGTTTCCTCAATGGTTTAGTTTCCTAGAAGTTTAACCATCCTTTGAGTGCCCGCATGCGAGCCTGTTTAACTTTGTAGTTTATGATGAAATTCCATCTTTATGCCAAAAAGAGTCTCGATGTTTAAGATTTAAGCTTCATTATACTTAGTAATTAGTGGTTCTTTCAATTTGTTTGTAAACTGTTAATGATAGAAAATAAAATAAGAAAATTTTAATTTCACCGTCCAATCTTCCATTTCCATATTGGAAATTCCAAGCATCCGGGCCAGGCCATGACTGTGAGAGCCTTGTTGATGCCTTTGGTTGTCAATGTTTAATTTCAATTGTTCTATCTATATGTTATATTTGAGCTGAACCATTTTTCCCTCGTGGTGATTTCATTGCATTAGAAAGGGGTGCTGATTCTGTGGGACAATATATTATACTTTTTATAGAGGGATTTATTTAGTGCTCTTCGTATTTCTTCAGTTCTTATTTATCTTTCAACATCATATATGTGACACAAGCTGATGGAGAAATTGACATTTAAATAAGTTAACAAAATTTTCAGATGTTGGGGCAGTAACTTTGATTCTTTGAATAGTCTAATGAATATCATTGGTTGTTTAATCAAGTTCGAGAATTGGTTTTCTAAGCAAGATTGAATTGACCTTGCTGAAATTGTATTGTTTGAAACTAATCACGGCTTTAGTGAGGAAAAGTCTGATAAGGAACGTTTGTTCAAAATAATGGTAGTAAGTTTTGATTGGTGTTTATATGCTTTAAAATTTTTTAGAAGGCTAATAGAATATGAGATTCTACTCTCATTTTGAGAGGCTATTTAGATTTGGTTTTGAATTTCTTATAACCATAAGGCCTTTTGATTAATTATCGCTCTTTGTTATGAGAGGGAACTTTTGATTAAGGCTAGTTGGTTTGCTTAAAATTCCAAGGTTATAGTAGCAACAATTCAATTGAACTATAGAATATATAGTGGCTTTAGCTTAGAGTTGATGGGGGAGGGATGATGACAAACTTGGACAGGATTCAAATTTCCATCATTTCGGGTTTTTTATGGAACCAGATCTACTTAATTAGCGGTGGTAGTTGGCCTAGCCCGATTGAAGCATTCTCGTCAATCACTATTAGTTGCATCGTTTAAGGGGACCTTGTAGTTCAAAGCGAGCCTATATTTGTTCTCAAGTCAATGAAAGATTGGATTATAGTGAGTGATAGAAAGAGATTGAAAGAGTGTGAGATTGAGTGTGTGGAGAGAATGGGAAAAAAGGTAACACGTAGGGCCCATTTGGGGCAGCTTTTTTGGCATGGTGAGTTTTGAAAACTCTGGATATGTTGTTTGGAATCCGCGACACGATGATAATTTGGCATAACCTGGGTAAACGCGGGCTACAGGTTCAACCTCGCAACTCGCGTTTCTTCACGATTTTATTTTGTCGCTACCCTTTCTCCTCTCTCTCCCCTCTCTCCCCTCTCTTGTATCGTGTTCTCCCCTCTCTTGTGTCTCTTCTACCCTAAGGTAACACTTCTCTCTTGTGTCTCTAACGCGTCTCTCTCACACCTCTCTCGTTTCTCTTCGATCCGTGGCTTCGGTGGCAAAGGTTTTCCTTTATCTTCTCCCTCTTCTCTCCGATCTCCGGTTCCATTTGGTTACTATGCTTTCCGTCCTCCCACGGTATTATTTTGCCATTATCTTTGCGGTTTGAAGTTAATTTGCGGTTTGTGACTTTCTCTTTGCGATTTGTGGCTTTCTCATTTGCGGTTTGAAGTTCTGAGGTTGGGATTTTGGGTTTTGGATTTTTTTTTTTGTTCTCTGTGCTTTATTCAGTTGATGGTTCTATATGGTTGGTGGTGGTTGCCCGAAATGGTGCTTGTGATTTTTTGGTGGTTCATTTGTTGTGTATTTTGTATTTGCCCAAAATTGTGGTGATGATTGGTGTTGCTGTCCCAAAAATGTGGTGATGATTTTGTGGTGGTTGCCCGAAATTGTGGTGGTTGCCTCGCCATGCTCAATTCATTTGTGATGTTGATGGCATGTTGGTGATGGGTTGATGGTGGTAGTGTTGGTGTGGTGAGGAGGTGGTGGTATGTTGGTGGCGGTGTTTGTGTAGTGTGAAGGTGGTGATAATGATGTTGTGTGGAGGTGATGGTGTGGTGTTAGTGGTTTTGTAAGTGGTGGTGGTGTTGATATTGTGGTGTTGGTGGTGGTGTTGATGTTGTGTTGGTTGTATGGTGTGGTAGTGTTGTGTGTTAGGGTTGGTGGTGGTGGTGGTAATGTGGTGTGGAGGTGATGGTGTGGTGATAAGGGATTTTTGATGATGGTGTGGTGATAATGGATTTTTGATAATGGTGGTGTTGGTAACGTGCTGGTGATGTTGGGTGGCTGTGTGGTGTGGTAGTGGTGTTGGTGTGGTAGTGGTTTAGGTGTGGTGTTAGAGGTGGTGTTGGTAATATGGTGGTGGTGATGATATGTTGATAGTGGTAGTGATGTTGTTGTGGTTTGGTGGTGACATTTCTTTTCATTTGCCTTTTCAAGTTGTTATATATTAAATGAAACTTTATGTTTTCTTCGGCAAATATTTATGTTGTTTAGCTTTTTTCATATTAGTATCGACATGACTAAGACATAACAAATCGGTTCGTTTGTCGCGTGGGATAAAGATGTCAAACTAATATTTTGCGACCTTTGCCTCAAAGAGATGAAATTAGAAAATAGGCCAACGACCTATTTTAACAAGGACGGCTGACAAAATATTAAAATGAAGTTCAAGGAAAGCACAATAACGGAATGCGTTCGGATGCAATTGAAAAACAAAATAGATAATTTAAAAAAGGATTTAAAATTTTGGTATAAATTGAAGAGAGATTCACGGGCTTAGGTTGAGATCCGAAGCGAACAATTGTTGCTTTAGAAGAATGGTGGGCCGAGAGATTCGAGATGAGAATTTATGAAATTTCCAGTCTTTTTATCAATTCTATGTTCTCTTCAAATGCATCAACATATCAATCTTCCTTTACTTTGTAGGTAATGGCAAATGCAAAAAAAAAAAAAAAAAATTTAGTTGCATTGAACTTGAACTGGATGAGAGGTTGGATCATATGTTTGGTGGAGTCGTGACAAAGGGTGATCATGCATGAGACTTTAATGAGGGAGGTTTTCTTGGCATAGCTGAGCACGTGGATGCCGAAAAAACAACTGACTCTAATGAAGGCCCCCAGCTTGAACCTCGATGAAGTCAAATCCACTAGCCGATGAAAGCATCCTAGCGTTGAGAAAAAGAAGAAAGATGTTGCAGTTTTCATTAAAAGTCAAATCTCGTAGTTACTTCACGTACCAATGACCCTAGCACATCACAAACAATTTTTATTCAACAAGTAATCCAAACTCTGGAAGCAACTCTAGAAATTTACGAGGTCATGTTGTACTTGTTCTCTATGAAGTTTCTTGAAGACTCAACCCGACGATAGTTCTTTATAACATGACCCCTGACCACAGATAAATTATTTAAGTTATTTCATGACAATCGAGATGCATGAATTTCATTTTATTTGTTGGAGATTTTATTTATTTTTTCCATGATGACAGTATTTATGCCACCTGTAATGTGCTCCGATTTTATTTCTCGTACACTTGTTAATTGTTTTTCAAAGCTTCTTTTTTTTTTGAGTAAAACATGTTATGATTCTAGCTAATTTCGTGATATTTTTATGTGCTAGCTACATAAATAATGAATAATATGGATAAAGAAAGATGCAGAACAAGAATTGCAGCTACGTTATGCCTAATATATATGTACTTCTACTCATATATTGCTTGCTCTCCGTGTATGACATCAACATACATAGGCGATACGTTGGTTGGAGAGTTCCTTGTAGGGGGAGGGAAACCAATAAGATTTAACAATATATTCCATATGATAGCCTAGATTCATTGAATTTTTGGAAGAACTATATCGAAATCATGAACTTCATGAGTTCGTTAGGATGACTTCCAGAGGTGTTAGAAACGACCTTCATTGAGATTTCAAAAGACCAGAGACATTCCATATTTTAAGGTAATTCCATTCATTCATATTTTTTTGAATTCAAATGAACATAGTAATTCATATACCCTTGTTAAATGGGGTTTATGATTGTATTGAAGCAACCGACGGAATACACGCGGATGCACGTTTGTCGACTAACGAAAAGATCGAATTGATCAGACGATGCAGATCATCAACACAAAATGTCATTGACTGTATATGACTTTAACATGTGATTCACTTTTGTTATAGCCGGTTGTTAAAATAGTGCACACGACAATCATATATTCAAATTTTTTATAAG